ACGTGCAATCCTCATGCCTCAGCTTCTCACAGTGCTGGGATTATAGGCATGCAACACTATTTCTGGCTGAAGCTTTTGCCTCTGAACAATGTGTTCACAAGAACATGTTGAGACTTTAGAAGTAAGTCTGAAAGACCTGCATGGAGAATATGTTTCCAGACAAGGAAGAAAGTGAATTCAAATTACCTCTGCAAAACCAAGAAAAACCAAGAAAAAACAACTTCAATTTCAGAAAAAGAAAAAAAGAAGACTAGAACACACACACACACACAAAAGAAAACCACAGAAGACCTGGGAATTCATACTTTAACTCCTATTGAGTCTTGGTTTTCATTCCCACAGATCTCTTAACTGCTCCTAACTAGGAGACCTGTGCCAGTGACTCACTTTAGATTATGTGGATAAAGACTTGTGTTGATAAGAGTTATCAGTGACCAAATGACAGGCGATAGAGATCTCAGCCAAAATCCATCACATGACACCCCATCTTCAGAAAAATGGCCCTCTGCAGTTACCCAATAATAAACACTATTATTGAAAAAAGGACAAGGAGGAAGAGAGAAAGTGAGTCGGGAGGCGGAGGAGGAGGAGGCAAGGAGAAGAGGGGAAAACAATTGAGGCCAAGCTTATAGTTTGTTTCTTGATATTGGAAATTTTTGTTTTAATTATAACTTTGCATAATTTCTGGGTGTGATGGATAAGCTTTATTGTATCAACTTGAATGGCTTGGGATCCTCCTGGGAGATTGGCATAGCACAATTGTTACGTGTATGAGTGGGTCATGGAAACACAGACTGAAGTCTATGTCTTATCCCCCGATAGTTTCTCTTTGGTACTGTTCCCCCATTCTTCATCCTGGATGCCATGAACTAAGCATCTTTGCTCCACTACACCCTTCCACCACAATATTTCTACCTGGGAACCAAGTGACCATGGACTGAATCTTCTCAAAGTGTGGGCCAAATAAACCTTTCCTCCTTAAAGGTGTGTATGTGTGTCATGTATTGTGTCCTAACAATAGGAAAGCTGTTTAAGAATAATATAATTGTTGAACTTATTTTCAAGTTTTTTAAGCTTACCATGTTGTATAGAAACATGGAGGAGTGAGATCCTTTAAAATACAGACAGAAAAACTTTGTTACTGTTACATTGAAAGTGTCACATACATTATTAGAGTAAGAGCAACTAAATGGGGATCAGCTTTTAGGATAGTATCAACAGCAATAACAAAATTCACACAGATCCATCCATATTCCCAGATAAGTATTTTGACAATAAAGATGTATGAGATAATATGAGAGGAATCTACCACTTTGCATTGTTTAGATTTTGATCTAAACTTCATAACCTATAAAATGATTCATGCTCCATGAGAAAGTATGTTTGGGGAGGAAATTTTGTTAATATATCATTCCTTGACATCATCCTGTAGTAACCAGTAAGTGTGTGAATATATGAGCTAAGTACAGTAATCACTTATCAATTTACTTGTGTTGTTTTCTTTAATCCTACACAGATAAAATTATTGAGAAAGGCCAGGAAAAGTGGCACTCACCTATACTTTCAAGTGACTGGGAAGCTAAGGCATTATCACTGTCAAGTTTGAGGCTTGTTTAGGAAGCTTAGGGTGATCCTTTCTCAAAATAAAACTGAAAAGGGCTGAGGATGTAACTCAGTGGTGTACCCCTTGCCTAGCTTGCATGAGGCCCTGAATTCAATCTCCCATATTAAAAAGAAGACTGAGAAGATGTAAAAAGGTGTAACAAGTAGAAATACAATATAGTATTAGATGTTTGGAGCTGCAGGAAGTTATAGAGACTCTCTCCAGCTCCCTCATTTTATCAATGCCCAAAATACTGTCAACTCTGAATTGTTACAATAGATTAAATGTGGTTAGATGAAAAGTGAATGTTTTTTCACATATCTTCCTATGAAGCTGTGAGTTCCATGAAGGCAACATTTAGATCATATTCCCAGTACTTTACTAGATATATGGTAGCTTAAAACTAAATGTTGAATGAATAAATAAAACTGGGCACAATAAGTTTCCAAAGTCTCAAAGAGCTAATGGTTGAAGCCAGGCATCTTGAGCCCTAGCTGACTGTAGATGTTTCTATTCTTAAACTTTTTGAACTGAAACATAAAAAAATAGTTTGGTGCCCACATAAACACTTTCCATCCCAAAGCTTGTATTTATATTTTAGCCAACTAATTACATTGTAATATTTACTTATTTAAATAATTTAACTTCAAAAAAAATTCTTGGAAACTATCCTTATAAAAAACTTTTGTAAAAAAACAAACAAACAAAACAAAACTTTTGTAAAACAAATTTCACATTTAAAAGTATGGAGTTTAATCATTTTACATGCAAAGATGTTACTTCTTGCAATGCATCACCTATTATCTAAAATCTGGTACATGTAAATTAAGCCATTACTTTCAAACAATATTTGTGTTCACAATGGCTCTGCAGAAAAGGAATCTAGTCTGTTCTATGATTTCAGCTTTGTAAAACCCAGAAGTGTATTGAGTTGTAAAGAATAGTATAGTAAAATAATTTCCTTGGTTCTTTTACCTACATGTATAAGGATCTGTTTGAATATCCCACAGTGGCCTTAGAGATAGTGGTAATTTAGTAAGCATCTGTACATTGTCATTCCCTACTTCCAAATGACCTCTTAGTTCTATGGAAAGTTATCTTCCTGGATAACTACTAGCAATACCAAGTTTCTTGACTGATTGTCAATTAAATGGTCAATCATATCCTATAATAGTAAATATGTTACAAAATAAATTTTCAAACTGTAATTCTGATCTATTTTAAAGAAAAATCTTAAATTAAATAACATCAAAAGTTATAATTCAGTTAGCCAAAAATACAAAATATTTATTCAATAATAATGTTTCTTTTCAAATACAGCTTGTTCTTTGAAATGGTAATATTCAGTAGTAAAAATGAATATATTTGAGAACTTTTATTTCAAACAAAAGAAGAATATCAAAATAGAAATTTATTTTTGGCTTTCTCTGAAACAACATGTTGAAGGAAAAAAAATGTGTTTTGATCATCTAGTTTCCTTCCTCTTGATAAAAACCCAAGAAAAAGAATTTGTAATTCATAATTCCTCAGAAGCTAAGAAATAAGATAATAGAGGGTGGAAGGAGAGAGAATAAGAGACTTTTCAGTCCCTGCTGTAGTCATTCTGAAAAGTAAATGAACAAGTTAAATATTCTAGCAGTGCAGTGTTTCAGAGATCAAATACAATCGGACAAAGCAGGAATAGCTGGATTTGCTTGTTGAAAGCATTGCATACTGTAAAAGAGTACAAGCTGTGATATTTGTACATGTATATCTAAATCAGTTGACAAAAATCAATTTTACAATTCAGGAATTCTCTTTTTAGGAAGATAGGAAATCCATAATTAAATACAGTTAGCATTCAGGGTCATTCAATAAGGATTTATTCACATTTCTTAAAAAAAATACTCATCCTCTGCTGAAGTACTTTTAAAGGACAGAAGCACACAAACATAATTTAGCTTCATGTATAATGTCTATGTTCTGCCCTAGAGAAAAAATATGGAGTGAAAATTCTAATAATAATGAGTTATCAAACAAGAGAAACTGTGATATGTTTTCAAATTTTCATTCATTAACATATATGTAATCATTGTAAATCTTTGTCATGGCAATTTCTTTTTTTTTTTTGCAATTTCTTAATTTGAATGGCACATATGTAAAAGAGTGAACATTCTTGAAAATAAGTGTCTTCTTTAGAATTATGTTAATTTCTTATTTTATTCCTTATCTCATTTTTCCCACATAGTTCAATTATTTTCTTCATTATAATTGTATATGTGTTTCACCAGTTCTTATCTAATATAGTGCTTAAAAATGTGAGGATAACAATTTGAGAGACATTTCACTAGCTCCAAAAGAAAATGAATTGCTTTGACTTAGGCAAATGTTATCAAAATCACAAAATATGGCATTATCATAAATTTTTGCAAAGATATGGCAAGCAATTTTGCACAGAATGAAGCAATTTCTATTGGTACTAAATTGGATTCTAACACATCTACTACTTTCTCATGCCAAGCCTATAAGGAAGGCACACACACAATTTGAATATAGGAACAGATTTTGTGATTTTGGAAATTTTAAGAACACATACAATTACATATAAAGGAAAGTTAAGATGAAAACCAAGAGTTTGAATTTCTCTGAGTCAGAGAAACAATTGAGACCAATCCTCTCACTTGAGATGTGACTAAGACAAAATCCATGGTATTGAAATGCCTTCCCACAGAGTTTGGAGCCAGGTGATGATTGCATCTTCCCAAATCAACCCGTATTTGCTGTAATCTCCTGTGAGGCTTTGGCTTATTTTCCACCTGACTCACTTGTGAAGTACTGGCATATTTCTAGAGAACTATTTTCTGGCCTTAGCCTACTTTATCATTAGCAATACTTAGTCTAATGTAAGTTTTTCTGAAAATCACAGTAAACATTCAGGCTAGAAAAATATCAGTGACTGAGCACTGCTTCATAAGTGTAGCCTTGCTGGACCTCCAGAATGGCCTGTGATGTCTACATTCACATGGGAGAATAGAGTATGATGAAAAATTTGATTCTAACCAGTCTGTTAAGAAACAAAGCCTTTCTTTACTCCACCTCTTCCAGTTGTCACATAGAACACCTTACTAGATTTATGTCTTCTACTAGTGGGCATACATAAGCGAGACCTCTTTGTTTCCTCATGGAATAGCCTTTAACCACTATAGCACCTATAAAATCAACAGTGTGGAGGTAAATAAATCCCTTAGCTTATTCAATCCAGGGGAAGAGCATTGGGATCAACACTGCAATTCACAGGGTTATTGTAAAAAAATATCTCCAGGTGGACAACAAAATCCTGTGCTCAGATGGTAGCTTGGAGAGCAGAGGCTACACATGAAGAGCAGGTAATAAAGTAATGAACATGCTGGTGACTTACCCTTGAGTTAACCACTTCCAGGGAGATGTTCTGGGGCGGGGCACTTGGCACTGAAAGGAATTAAACAAGGTGTGAGGGTTAGTCCTGAAGTCTTGAAAGGGAAAGTATACTGAAAAGAGAAAGTGTGTCTTTTTTACAGTTTATAATGATAAGTATATAGTTAATACAGGTGGCCCTTCAAGATTTTCAGGGAGAGATGAGAAATAACCACGTTTATTTAGTTTTTCTCAATCAATGGAACAGTTAGCCATCTGGTGAGTCACCAAAACTGTTAGGCAAAAGAGCACCTGTTGTGATACCAAATACTACCAAATTACAGAGTCCTTGTGACAGCCTTCCTAGGAAAGCCAATGAAAACACACGGGAAATTTAAAAAGTGGTCTTAAAGGCTGAAGTTATGTACATTTCAGCATCTACTGGGTTTTGTTTTATATGTTACTGAGGAAGCAAGTATGGGATCTGTACGTTTTTATGATGAAATATATCACTCTATCACCTGAGTTTTTCAATCTTGTTAATCATTATTCTCTCTTAAAAGTGAAAGAAGAACTACTTCCCATTTTTAGGTGTAAATAAGTAAATCTGTGTATCATAGGTACAAACATTACCAAAGAGCATTCAGCCAGCCTATTCTATTAACAAAAGATTTTTTCTTGGTATATTTTCTAGGTATTTCATTACACTTGCCTGCATTTCAATTTTCCTAATCCTTTATGGAAGAAAGAAGAACATATACAACTCTTTTAATGCTTATGATATAAAAAAAAGTGAATATCATGTCATTCAAAGACAACCATCATGTTATATGTCAGGAATTGTTCTAGCTTTCTGGGATGAAACATAAATAATTAAAATTTTCTTTCCCACAACAAGAATAGAAACAGTATTGAATAAATTTTTAACACATATTAATCTAGAGAGTGAATACTCCCTATACTCCTTTGTGATATATTGGTGAATTTTTTAGAAATGAAATGCTTCATTTCCTATGCTGTAAGGCAACTGAAAGAGTCTCAGGAGCTTGTGTGTGTGTGTGTGTGTGTGTGTGCATGTGTGTACCTTTCTTTTCCTTAACCTTGGATAATATCTATGCTTTTCCATAGGTTACTTATATTTTACCCTGAATTTGGTTATGCCTTACTCTGATTTTACTTTCTGAAAAGTAGTCACCATCACGGGATGGGATTTACAGTATCTGATTTATCTTTACATTCTCCAAATGGATGTTCAATTAACATTTATGAAATCCATGATTGAAGGAGAAAATGAATCCTTACTTAACATTGCTCCTGGACCTTTCTGGACATGATGGAAATGACAATCATTTATTTGGTTTGGATTTTGAACTACTTGTCTTACTGGTTTAATGAAGATTTTATCCAACATGGAATCTGATAAAATACTCACCTCAAGGTTATATTTTTATGAATCAAAAGAATGAATATTCTTTCATAAGTATTCCATAATTTAGGAAATGTTTTATCATTTGTTTTTAGTTAGTATTATGTTTTTAATTTAAATACAGAATGTAACCACTATAGGGACAAGAACTTTTGTGTATTTTAATGCTGGATCATCAGTATAGAGATAACTCAAGTCCATGGTGTATATTCAGTAAATACTTGTTGAATAGGTAAAGTAATTAATGGAAGGGCTATAATGCTACAATAAGTGTTCTTTCATATTCAGGGTTTCAGTCGAAGCTCACAATTTCATCTTTTAAACTGAGGAATCAATTGTAATTTTATTATAAATTAATTGATAATTTATATAATTATGAATATTACACCTAAAAAATAAATGACAATTTTATCTTTTAAACTGAGGTAAAATGGGGTATAACATGGTATATCATGTACATAATTATACACATTTATGAAAAATATTATCTTTTAAAAACAAAGTTTGTAAATGATGTCAATGTGAAGTGATAACATGTAAATCAGTTCTTAAGCATGGAAAAGATTTCTAGTATAAATTTATCACAGTGTTGCAATATGTACATGTCATATGTTGCTAATCATGTTACACTCACCTTGTATCCAATTCAATAATATCAAAACAGAATTTCAGTAGCACTAACTGAGTTTATGATAGATGATTGAATTCTGGAGGAAAGAAGAGGTAGCTTAGATTTATTATGTGTTTTTTCTGGATACTGTGCATTGTAAATGATATGTTACCCTCAAATATCATCTTAACTTACATTTGTAAATGGAATTTTTCTCATTTAAAGTAAGCCAAGAATATACTAAAAGAAAAGAAAAATATGTATATTTTGTTTTGTAATTACCACAATTTTGTTAGCATCGGGGATATTTTCTGTATTAGAGAATGAAAGCCAATATAATAAAATCCAAAAGTTCTTTGTAATAAAGGTGTTGATGTATTTTGTCTATTTTTCTACAATAAAAATTTCTACTTTCCATTGATTACACACAGGCTGTTCTTGCTATGCCAGGGCAAATGCAGAATTCTTTTCACAGTGTGTGGTTGTTATTGCTATCTTTCTCATTATCAATACAATATTATTTAGAGATAAATACAAAAGATAGAATTAAATATTTGGTGGAAGAGAAGGAATTTGCATTTGTCTTTATCCGTCTTCCCAAGATGTTTCATTGTTTCATCAGGCACAAAGGGAAGGGCACTTTGTCTTTAGGTCAACTGATTTATCATTTGCAATGATTGCAATCCATTCAAGCCAATGAGAGGTGGGTGTGCAGGCTCCTCCCACTTGGGGGAGCCTGCTGCACATGGTGATGAGGGATTCTTTTAGAGCAGACCACATTTCCACATTTGTAAATCAATCTGTATAATCATAAGCACTTAAATTCCCCTATTACCAAAGTGTGCTGTGTTTTACACACAATTTATAGATAAAAATAACTCATATTTAGTTATGTGTGGTGTTCATACCTGTAATACTCTGCACTCATGAGGGTGAGGCAGGAGGATCCCTGCAAATTTAAGCCAGCCTGGGCTACATAGTGAGTTCAAGGCTAGCCTGAACTACTATACACAGCAAAGCCCTGTCTCCAAAACAAATCTAAACCAAAACAAGACAAACCTAGTATTTAATTATAAGCTTTTAAAAAGGTATTAATAAGGGACATTTATGACAAAATAAGAGAAAATTGTTTCCACACTGAATATTAGCTCATTACTTACTAGTTTATATTACTTGTCTCTGCTGCTTATTAGCCTTTATGAACCCTCTTTAACTTAGCTTTGTCATCTGCAAAGCATAGAAAATTATACTATTGTCAAGATAAAAAGTTAATACAAAGTGCTAAGATCAGGGCCTCACACTAGCAATTAATCAAAAAATATTAGTGATAACACTGATAACTCTAATAAGCACATTCTTAAGTTGCCTCTGATATTGAGTTCTTCTGCATCTGAGCACAGGACAAACTGTCATGTTCTCTCATAATTGTTAATTCATTCCTAAACTTGTTAGTGTCCTAGTAATAAAAACTACTGCAAGAAAAACTGACAAAACTGACTATGGTCTCATGCTAAATAATATGAGCAGTTTGAAGAAGTAGGTTACTATAAACCAATGGTACACTACATAAAGGAAATTGATAAAAAAAAATTATGGTCCAACCCAGAAAAACAATGAAAGCAGAGCTAAATCAAAGATGACAGCACATTTGGATAAAAATATTTACAAGCATCTTAGCAGAACTGGAAAATCACTGGTTTAATTAAAAAAATAAATTTTTTACATTTTACATTTTTCTAAGCCACACTATAGATTTCTATGATAAGGATTCCTCTAACATGATAAGAAATGTGATGGCTTTTACAACATAATGATGTATTACATTAGCTCCACAAATGATAAGACCTAAAGATAAAATTTTTCCATACAAACATTTGTACAGTTTTGGTTAAACCTGTCTCACTAATACAATAAATACTTACTGAGTTAGGAAGAATACAGAGATACTGTTCTTCATATTTATGAAAATTTAAAGAGATAGAGAGACATATTAGTATCAATAACCATCATTAACCACTTAAATGTATGCATGCATTGTTTTAGGTGTTACATGGATCAGCCCATTCAATTTTCCAAACATGTGCCTCTTTCTGCATAAAACAAGTCCAAAAAGAAGAGTACAAAGCTTCCGACTGAGGAGTGGGAAGCAGGTGACTATTAAGGATGACTAAATACACGTAAGTGTCATATTAACCTGGGTATGAACAGCTTCAGTAGAGACAAGAAGACATCATATTGAAGTTATTGGGTAGTAAAAGAATAGAAGCCAAAAGTGTAGGTTTTTGTTGGAAATTCATAGCTGAGTTGATTATAAAGATGAATGCAGACAAGGTCAGGGTGTCCACTCCAAAGGACCATGGAGTCCCTGCTTTCTCCTATCAAATGCATCAGGTAGAGGGGATTTAGCATTTTTTCTATTGTGATGTTTATTGGGGTTAAGGCCTTGAAATTCTTTTTTTATTTTCAGTGACAGACATTTTCTAAGCCCTAACTACTGCAACACTTCCAGAAGATAATTCTGGACAGATGATAAATAATCTATCTTTCTCACTTATGACATTTAAAACCAAAGTGAAGAATAAGGCCACAGTACTACAGTTCAGTGTGTGAATGAAATCTACATAAATTATGTAAAATGTTCATTTTCATTTGGTTTTCTTTTATTTTTATAATTATAAGTTGTGAAGTAATTTAGTCTGCCAATAAATATTCTGTTCTATCTTTAATAGCAGAATCAGATGGATGGGCAGAAGAATTACATTAAAAATAATACTGAAGTGGCCTTACATGGGAAATACATTTTTAAAGTTGAAATGCAAATAAGCATCATTCCTGTGTTTCCTTTGCATTGCCCTCAATAACATGCTTGTCCTTCTTTATTCCATTGATATTCCACCCAGATATTTTCTCAGATTAAAGAAGGACAGATGGGTCAAGGAATCACAATGAAAAAACATTTTTTTAAATTTAAAAGATCAATAATTTATAGAACTAAACATAGCAACAGGGAAACTACTGCTGAAAATAACTAGCTCCTTGTCATTTTAATATCCATTGGTAGAAATCTCTGTATTTCTGCACCTGCCTGAGTTTCCATTGTACCTATATTACATACTTTGCTATACTTTATTTTCACTTTTTATTAAACTTCAAAACATTTGTCATTCTTAGGTTGCTAATTTTCCCTCCTATTGCTTATTCAGGTTAATTTTCTTCATAAAGATCTCTTCCTCTCTTTTAGGACATTTAAAAAATATGTCTAATCTTTTGTTCATTAGACAAGTAAAATTAAAACCATACACTTTCATATTCATTTTTAATATTTCCAATGCTGGATTATTTACCATAAATTCTTATCATGATTTATTTTCAAGTTAAAAAATATTTAAGAATATTATTTATCATTTATACTTTTAATCCTGTGTGCTCCTTTAGAATGAGAAATAAAACAGTCCAGTCTAATGTAGTTCTCATATAAGCCCAAATATATTTGCATTAGAACATTTTTAGAAATAAAGCAACACAGACACAGAAATAATTTGAGCTCTTAGGCAATAGTTACACCTTGCGGATTTTTGATTATGCATCCTGACTCAATATATATTTAGATAAAAAGTATAAATGTGACTATAATAGATAAAGTAAGCAAGTTAGCCAAATCTTTGATGTACCTTAAAATATTGCATAAATTTTTAGTCAGGAGCTTGTGAAAATGGAATCTATGACATACATGTAATAATATTTCATTTTTATGGAAACATGCAGATAAAATTTCACTGTTTCTAACTTACCATCAGAAAGTGTAACTACTGTTATATCATCAGTAGATACTCCTGGCCCATAGCGATTATAAGCTAAGAATCGAAGAGTATATTCCGTGAATTTTTTCAGTCCTTCCAGTTTATAAGACAGTCCATCAACTTCTATATTCTGGAGACATAAAATGCCAAACTGTTATTAAGGAACCACATTAAAGCAGAAATGGCAGCCATTCTGTGCTAGCAATGATTAGATGCTCTTGCTCACATAATGATCCTTTAGCCTTATAATGAGTTGTTGTAAAATCCTACTTGTAACACATACTCCTTCACTAGAGCCTGAATTACTCTGCTGACTCCTTGTAAAATAGCATCAGACTATTTTTATAGTCATTAAGTTCCAATTTTCTTAACACCACCCAATGCATAAAATGGCATGGGCTTTTCCACCCATATCGAAACCTTCACAAGTAGAAGTTGGCTTGTAAATTCTTGATAACACAAATTTACTCCTGTACCTCAAATAGAATGATGCAATGGAATAATTCACCAAGATAGTACAGAATTATTTCTTTGCTTGCTGACATTGTCAGGTACTTTGCAACAATTTGTGTTTCTCAAAATGTTGTGATGGAGGTTGAAACTATTCCCAGCTTCACTTGTATTCCCACTTTAACTGTAGGCAAGGAAATACTGAAGGTGAAGGTCACTGAAGAAATCAGATCCAGCACCTGCTAGAAGATCCCTTATTTAGGTCTACACAATATTTCCCACCCTAACATTTACCCTGGGTGATACTGTTTTTAAACTTATTTAAATAGGTTTGTAAAATGCATTGCAGAAGGCCTGAAGTATCCAGAAAAGGGAATAGAATCGCTAGTTTAAAAATCAGAGTTAAAAATAGCGTGAGAACAGCTAAGAAAAATCAAGCAAAGTTATATAGGAGCAGCTCATGTAATGCTATCTTATCATATAACTTGGGACTGGACATAACTATTTCTAGATAGGACTATGAGAAAATACTTTAAATAAAAAATCCCTATCATGTAGTTTATGAGAATATGAATAATACATTATGCTTGGCAACCCTCACAAAACAGAACTCTGGTATCCCAAGGTCACTTTCCTATCTATCAACTTAGCTATTTATCTGTTCCACATGATTTTGAGAATCTGAAAGTAAACATCTTAATAGTCATATATGTCACAAAATAAAAATGACAAGTTTCATTTATCTCCCCAAAGACTTATTAACTCTACATGAACAACTAATGTGTCTCCTTTTAGCATCTATGCTAATTATTGATTAAAAGCAAAAGTAAGATAGGCTTCTACAAGTTAAGTTCTACGAAAACTGTGAAAATCCATAGGTCAGAGCCTGATGGGGAGGAGAGAATTATTATAAAATATGCAAGAATGAAAAAGTAGTTTGGCCAAGGCCATTTTATATAAAGACAAATATCTCCTAGGAGCAGGATTTAAAGCACAAATGCCTCTGTGACTGTGTTGATTAAGAGAAATGTGGTTACTGACTCAGGCCCAAGCTTAGACCAAAAATTGGCATGATCTCTACTGACTTCACTTGACTGTCCACTTGCCTTTTTCACCACCAGAATTCAATTAAACTGGTAAACATTTTCAATGACAAGTGCTTTATAATGAATCAGTTATTCAATGAATGTGCTAACTGCAGAACTGTATCAGATCTGCTCCTCATTCTCCAGCCCTAGCATCATCCTGCAAATGGAAGCTGTGTGGCCCACTCCCTTACCTACCTGTTCTTTCCCTGTAGATGCCTCAGTGCAGAACAATCTGTAACCTTGGACTGGACCATTTGCATAGGCAGGGGGTTCCCAGGTAATCAGAATTGAGGTAGGTGAGGTAGATACAGCTTGCAGGTTTTCTACTGGGCCTGGAACTTGCACTGTGTACAAAAGAAATTGATTAGGATGAGAGAGTTTGATTTTCCAAAACAAAATTACATCTTTTAGAACTTGAAAAAATAATAGCAACATGCACTACTTTTACAGCCACATGGAATTTCAATATAAAAACATAAATATAAAATATGAAATAATGAAAACAGCATCATTTAATTTTAAAATTAAAGAGAAAGCTTGCATTAATTGAATTACTTATTTCATTATACAGTTAGAAAGACTAGTCCAAGAGGACAAGTGAATAGGATAATGACAGAAAAGAGTGGGATTCTGAATTTAAATTTATAGTTTGTGAAGTTTTCTATTCCAACAGTATATCTTTATGAGTTGCTAAAAGCTGCAGAAAAAGAAAATACAATTAGAGGACTTGAACATCTAGTTCTACTTTAATAGACAACACAGCTATGGATAAGGCATCACACTGTCTTTAATTTATTCAGCAATTTAATATCTTGCCTGATTTGGGGTCCTTTAAATTATATTTAGAATTCATTTTTAATCTCACTTTTTAGTGTTACAACTCATAATACTTTATATAATCAAGGATAAATAATGTACTTGTAAATACAATTAGGTCCACAATCACAAAATCAAAACACTTCTGTCCATGTGTATTTTATGACTCAGAAATGTTTGCTTTTTACTCTAAGAGCCGATATTTCTACTTTTGTATCTACTATCTCAATGCACACATGGATTCCTTTTTATAATCTCTAATTCATTACTGTTACAAATTATTTTGGGGTTCAAAGTGTACCAGATTTGCTCCAGAGCACTTAAATTGGTTCTTCCGTCCTTGGTGACCTGGCCTTTTGTTTATTGGAACATTTCCTTTTTATTTATTTATTTAGCATTTCCTTTTATTCTGGTTCATCTGAATCCTACCCCATCTCTAGAATCAGACATTTCTCCAAGGATTTCTGGTTCTTTGTAAATAGGGAATGGGATGAAGAACAAAGATTGGAATGCTAAGTATATTAATTGCTCCTTCAATGTTTCTGCTTTTAGGTCATTTTGGTTAACAGAGCTAAGAAACATGTATGTATGTAGATATATACATATACTTATTTGTATATATTTAAATGTAAAGATATATATGCTACACATATTTTTCATGAATATTCCAATCCATCTCTAAAAAGTTTGGTCTTGCTTTTCTATTCCTCTGTGATGTGTTCTTTCTCCCACATTGAGGTCTCTTGCTGCCAAAGAGCTGTATTTGACAGACACTTTATGAGTGTGCCCATCTCCATAAATGATAATATTTCTTTGACAAAGTCTGCAAAGGGGAACTTTAGAGGACAATATTGAACAACAGGAAATCTCACCTTGTGTCACAGTTTAATTAGATATAATTAGATTTGTATTATCATAAAATGGATGTTTTGCTTGATGAGAAAACAAAGTAAAATGAAAACTTGTCTACTAACATTGTTCAACTGTATTTTCACAGGGCAGTATTTTAAACAACAGTGAAAAATAAACATTTTTTCCTTTTTAATGATAACTTATATATTCACAACAACAGTGCAATCAATCCAAGAAGGAAGATTTCTTTTTGGTAGCAGGGATCGAACTCAGGACCTTGCACTTGCAAGGCAGGCGCCGGAACCACTGAGCTAATTCCCCGGCCCTCAAGAATGGACATTTCAACTTTGAAATCTGTATTCCAGAAAGGAAGAAAGACAGAAGAGTGACAGCACTGAGACTCACTGATTTTCTTATGATACTCATATACACTGAATATGAGGGATCCAGGATTTTGACAGGATTCACACAGTGAACACAGGTGTGCTTCTGTGGTATACGAATTATCTATTAACTGAATGCATTCCTTTCTGCTCTTTCATGGCCAAACTAAAGTAACAATGGTTGATACGAATGTGACTTAATCTGGAAGCTAGGATTCAAGTTCTAAACTGACTAAATTCACTCCTACTGTGATATGTAATGCATGCAAGGATGAAGATAGAGCTAAGACCTTGTTTTCTGGAAGAGAATTCCAGGAGGACTAGTAGCCTCACATATGTTTGGGAAAAGGAGAAAGGAGGCAAAGTTTTGGAAGTTTCTCTTCAACCATCCCATCTGAGCACAATAGAGTGATGGGAAACAATTCAAATAGACTTCAAATGTCAAAGGGCAAAAGAAGCAAATGAATTGGCACCTCATCTGACCCATCATGTGCATGGTAGGGGGCAACTTTGCTATGAAGAAGAGTGTGAGGAGAGTCCATGCCATGCCAAGGCAGTTTCCTGAGGCTCTACATGTGGCAGAAGGAGGCTCTGAATGGCTCATTTGCCTGAGGTGAGCAAAAGAGATCTGGAAGAGCATGTTGGGAAACTGCCCACAAGGGCAGGGGCTAATCATGGTTGAGAAGGGAAGCAGGTACATAGTTTATCAGTAATTCGTTGAAGATCACTGAGGTTTGGGAACTTGTGGGAATCAGATATGCCCACTGCACATGCACTTCCAACAGGTATTGGGGGAAAAATACACTTTAAGGACATTTGCACCACAAGACAGTAACTACAAAAGAGCAAATTTGGCTCACATTCTTTCCCCAGTAACCCCAGACAGTTGGGCTAAGTATCCTGACTTTTTCAAGAAAAATGATCAGAACATTCCATTTACTGTTCTAAATAATAGGATCAGCTATCTTCTCCACACGGTCATATACAATGCTTGCTACCCAGAAAGTATTCAACAAGGGCATGTCAAATGAAAGATTTTGTGTATAATTACCAAATGTTACCATAAGTCACAAACCTAAAACATACTATGTAATTTAAACCATTTGGATTGTATTAAGTCAGCATTGTTACTACAAGTGATTAGCAAAGAGTGTTTTCCTAACACATCTGATGAGAACTAAAGTGGATATATGTATCTATGTATATTGCATACAAGTAAGCCTGTGTGCCTTTTGCCTGCCTTGTAATTTCTCTACATGTGTGTAGCTTAATGGTTGTTGATCAGAGAACACCAGGTAGTAAATACCCTAATTTGGACTCAGTTAAGATCAATAATACTAACCCTAACCATATGTTCATCAATTGCATTTGTGTGTCTTCTTAATGCTCATTGGTCACTGTTATAAAGAAATGAGTGCTTGGGTTTCCAGAAGGATTTCAAGCAGAGATAATAAACACTCCAAAGGAAAAGAACCATTTAGAGTATTTAGTTCAAGTATCCAGAAACAATGTATATGCTTTCACCAATTGAGAGCCTATCCCCATTCTCTTTGTTGTGGTTGTTTCCAAATGCCTTCTTTTTCCTGAAAAGAATTGCCCTTTGGTATTAAATCATTTCCTATTTTAATTATATTGTCTTTAAATATTATTTATGACTTCATAGTATTGATAGATTTTAATACCCTGGGATATTAAAATAAAAATATAATCCTATCTTCATTTGTATATAAATATAAAAATAGCAAATGACTACCACCAAAGTATACATATATTTTATTGAGAATATATAAGTGCTCTGATTTAAAGCAAATACTACCTGTATGTGGCATATTTTTCTTCATAACATTTCTCACTAGTGTCAATATTGTGTCTTAAGTTTTTAAATGCTTATTTTTCACAAAAGTGCTATAAATTCGGTTTCATGAATTCCTAAGTATTTTCCCTTTGAATTATAGCCCTAACATAGACATGTGGATAGCATACTGCTTTATGCTGATTAAAAGGATATATTTAGGAATATGTACATAGAGAGAGAGATAGATATAGGTATAGATGAATGTATATATTTGGCATCTATTCAGATGAATATCTACAAAATATGTTGAAGTACAATTTGTAAACTTTACATATGTGATGCATCATATGCATATGAGCTGCAAGTGAGACATGAAGAAAACGAGAAACTCAAAGATGTTCATCAATGGGAATTAGATGTGAAATCAATACAGTTAACAGCTTCTACCTTCCATTCCATTCCATTTTTGTATGTCAGTCAAGAAACTTAATGGCCTTAACTGTTCATCATTTCTACAATGTCTTTAATAGTCTCCACTGATGCCCTCAGTTGGACAATAATTTTGTGGAAAACTGCACCTAATTTGTTTCTATTTTCATTCAAGTTACCTATTTCTTCAAAGAACAAAAATTTCAGAATAGATAAATAACCTATGCAAGTAACTCATCAATCAATGTCAGGCTAGTCGACTACTTTTTAAAAATTTAATATTGCATTGCAGTAGAAATTCATTGTTAACAGTTGTATCTAAGAATGAAATTAAATAGTTATGGTGGAGTAAATGAAATGTATTACATGTCACTATTTGTCCTGAAATAGTAATTTTTGACTATATACATATATATATAAATTTATAACATAAGTGAACACTTTATAATGAGGAATTGTTGCATATTAACCTAAAAATGACTTGTGAAAGTTAGCCAGATCTTTAATAAAGTATGATTGATCACATACTTCATAATCATATTTAAGACAGGATGTGTGCATGTGTGGCTAAGCGTGAAGAGGGGGCTGGCTTTCATGGTTAATGAGATACTGTTGAGTAATTATAGAGGAGAGTCAGAAGATATGGTAACTCTCTATGATAATGGCCTATTATTGACATCAAGGAATCTGTGAACTTCTTTAAATTGTGTGCTCCTTTTCAAAAATGCAATGGGTACAGTTTTTATTTTTATTTTTTATGTGTATTGTCTGTAGCTTCTTTCTGTGATAGTTCCTAAGGGACTAGATGATAACTCTGATTTCTTTTAGTTCTGACAGTGATTATCATCAAATCATTTATAGTGATCTTTAATTAGTTATGATGGGAAATATGGCAATATGTCACTTTAAGAGACACCTTCAACTTTTAATCAAATGGTTATACTGTCTTTCCAAAACTGAACTATATTTGTATACTAGGTATCTATTTTTTAATTTACAAACATTCCACAGGCATTTGAATTCATCTCATTTAATGCACCAAATATTTTACAAGATATTATTGTTTCTG